GCCAATGAAAGGTTCTGGAAACAGTTGTGGTCTATACCCGGCGACTGTAACCTGGAGGCACCATGGGTCCGTGAATATGACCATGCAATGTTTGAGAAAGTAAATAGGTCGTTTGTCTGTTACATCTCACCAGATTGCCTGAAAAGTGTCATCAAAAAGTCCAAATCTAATACAGCTCCAGGGCCTGATGGCATTCGAAACAGGTATTGGAAACTGTTCCCCTGTGTCCAAACACAATTACTTAACTGTTTCAATTCTCTTGTGGACACAGGTGATGTTCCTCCATGGTTCTGCAAAGGTCGCACAATACTTCTCCCCAAGAAAGGAGACTTGACTGATCCCAAAAACTTCCGCCCTATCACATGTTTGAATACTCAGTATAAAATATTCACAGGGTGTTTGACAAACCTGGTGTCATCTTACTGCTCTTCCAATGATATAATTTACAGAGAGCAGAAGGGGGCGAGAAAGGGATGTTGGGGGTGCAAGGATCAACGTCTTGTACAAAAAATGGTTTTGGAAGAGGCTAAAGCATAGCACAGCAACCTCTCCATGTGCTGGATTGACTACAAAAAAGCATACGACTCTGTCCCTAACGAATGGATTCTGAAGTCTCTTGATTGTATTGACCTCCCTGAGCGACTACTTGATTTACTCAAGTCTTTAATGAGTTGCTGGTCGACTCAACTTGAGATGTACTCGCAAGGACAGGTGCAGACTTGGAATCCATTCCAATCAGAAGGGGAATTTTCCAGGGGGACTCCTTTAGTCCTTTGCTTTTTTGTTTGTCTCTAAATCCTTTGAGCTTTCTGCTCAATAAAGAGGAGGGTTACCATCCCGGACCTCCTCAGCACAGATCCCCAACACCTCTTACTCATCTCCTTTACATGGATGACATCGAGCTCCTTGCCAAAGGTGATTCCAATTTGAAAGAGCAGGTTCTCCTTGTCGAGTCCTTTTTTAATGATATTGACATGACATTTGGACTCGACAAATGTAATATTCTTCATTTGAAACGTGGCAAGGTAACTAATGATGGCTCGGTCAAGTTACAAGGGGGAGGAGTTATTAAGCATCTTGTGGAAGATCAGGCCTACACCTATCTTGGAATGCAATTTCGAGACAAGCTCCAGAATGCCCAGATTCAAGACAAACTTCGGGCCGAGTACAAACCTCGTTTGAAGAAAATCTGGAGCTCAGAGCTAAATGCCCGAAACAGGGTCAAAGCCACCAATACTTTTGCTGTGCCAGTCCTTTCCTATTCCTTTGGAGTAGTTGATTGGACAAAACAAGACATCCAGAGTCTTGACCGTCTGACCAGAAGGATCATGTCTGATAACAGAGCCCACCACCCTCGTTCCTCTCTTAACCGTTTATACATGCCAATCAATTCTGGTGGTGGGGGTTTGATTAATGTGGAGGCTCTTCATGATAGAATTTTATTGTGTACTTTTGCACATATTTATTTATCGGATGATCCTCTGGTGATGCATGTGAAGACTCATGATGAAAGCAAGGAATTCCACAGCTATTTTAAGCGTGCCAAGGTTGTTGGACAGAATCTGAAATTTGAGGTTGACTTTGCTGATGGCGATGTACTGCTGGACGGTACAGCGATGGGAGTAAACAAGGTGAAGTCCTTCACCAAGTCTGCCCAGAGTCGGTTTTTTGTGGAGAAGCTTTCTGAGAATCCATTGCATCGTGTGTACATGCAGTGTGTTGGACAGAATAGCAATCCCACCGACTCCTTCGCCTGGATTAAGTCGGCTGGTCTTAAATGTGAAACTGAGGGCTTCCTTTTTGCTGCTCAGGACCAGTCACTTCCCACTCGTAATCGCCTAAATGTGATTCTTAAAGAGAATATTAACATGAAATGTCGACTTTGCAATGAATTCACAGAGACTGTCCAACACCTTGTCAGTGGATGCCCTTCCTTGGCACAAACAGCATATCTTAAACGACATGATGGCATGGCTCGTTGCTTTTACTACCGTCTCCGACATGCCTGTGGCTTTGACTCCGAGGTCCATCCATGGCACGACCCTGAACATGTCCAGGGCGTTATGGAAAATGATGCTTTCAAACTTCTCTGGAATAGGCCCATATACAGCCTGAGGAGAATTCCAGCCAACAAACCTGATCTTGTCCTTTTTGATAAAGCCAATGAATTTATATATATCAAATTGGAATTTTCTGTCCCTTTTGACACCAATGTGATTGGCAAGATTAAGGAAAAGCATACTAAGTATGCGGACCTCGCCTTTGAAATGTCTCGCTTGCATCCCAGGTACACTGTCGCCAGGCTTCCCATTGTTCTCGGTGCCCTTGGTTTGGTACCTCCTGATCTCTTGGCACAGATCAGGAGAGTGCCCGGGTTCTCCACCTGGAGTACAGCCCTTCTGACACTCTGGGTAATGCAGAAGGCTGCAGTGTTGGGGAGCCTTCATATTCTCCGGAAAGTTCTTGGTGGGTTCGACTAGGCAGCGTTTCCTGGGAGAAGTCCCATTCGCTGTCTGGGCTGCGTGTAGAGGGGGCAAGGGCCCTGAGCTGATGATGAGCCTTACCAGCCTGACTGTGCCAGGATCACCCGAACCCTTCTCTGCTGCATACTATCTTTAATCTGTAAAACATAATAATAAGAATAATAATAACCACCAATGTGATTGGCAAGATTAAGGAAAAGCATGATAAATATGCGGACCTCGCCTTTGAAATGTCTCGCTTGCATCCCAAGTACACTGTCGCCAGGCTCCCCATTGTTCTCGGTGCCCTAGGTTTGGTACCTCCTGATCTCTTGGCACAGATCAGGAGAGTGCCCGGGTTCTCCACCTGGAGTACAGCCCTTCTGACACTCTGGGTAATGCAGAAGGCTGCAGTGTTGGGGAGCCTTCATATTCTCCGGAAAGTTCTTGGTGGGTTCGACTAGGCAGCTTTTCCTGGGAGAAGTCCCATTCGCTGTCTGGGCTGCGTGTAGAGGGGGCAAGGGCCCTGAGCTGATGATGAGCCTTACCAGCCTGACTGTGCCAGGATCACCCGAACCCTTCTCTGCTGCATACTATCTTTAATCTGTAAAACATAATAATAAGAATAATAATAACCACCAATGTGATTGGCAAGATTAAGGAAAAGCATGATAAATATGCGGACCTCGCCTTTGAAATGTCTCGCTTGCATCCCAAGTACACTGTCGCCAGGCTCCCCATTGTTCTCGGTGCCCTTGGTTTTGTACCTCCTGATATCTTAGCGCAGATCAGGAGAGTGCCCGGGTTCTCCACCGGGAGTACAGCCCTTCTGACACTCTGGGTAATGCAGAAGGCTGCAGTGTTGGGGAGCCTTCATATTCTCCGGAAAGTTCTTGGTGGGTTCGACTAGGCAGTGTTTCTTGGGAGAAGTCCCATTCGCTGTCTGGGCTGCGTGTAGAGGGGGCAAGGGCCCTGAACTGATGATGAGCCTTACCAGCCTGACTGTGCCAGGATCACCCGAACCCTTCTCTGCTGCATACTATCTTTAATCTGTAAAACATAATAATAAGAATAATAATAACCACCAATGTGATTGGCAAGATTAAGGAAAAGCATGATAAATATGCGGACCTCGCCTTTGAAATGTCTCGCTTGCATCCCAAGTACACTGTCGCCAGGCTCCCCATTGTTCTCGGTGCCCTTGGTTTTGTACCTCCTGATATCTTAGCGCAGATTAGGAGAGTGCCCGGGTTCTCCACCTGGAGTACAGCCCTTCTGACACTCTGGGTAATGCAGAAGGCTGCAGTGTTGGGGAGCCTTCATATTCTCCGGAAAGTTCTTTGTGGGTTCGACTAGGCAGCGTTTCCTGGGAGAAGTCCCATTCGCTGTCTGGGCTGCGTGTAGAGGGGGCAAGGGCCCTGAACTGATGATGAGCCTTACCAGCCTGACTGTGCCAGGATCACCCGAACCCTCTCTGCTGCATACTATCTTTAATCTGTAAAACATAATAATAATAATAATTGATTTATAGAGCGTTTATTTCCAAAAGATATTGCTCAATGGCGCTATAAAGAGAAAAGATTGTAGACAATGTCTATGGAAAAGAGAGTTTGAACAGATGAGTTTTGAGGGCAGTTTTGAAAGCGTCAGCAGATTCTATTTCTTTTAGGGCGAGTGGTAGAATGTTCCAGAGATAGGGGGCTGCAGCAGAGGACGCTCTTGATCCCCAAAACAGAAAAAAAATCACCTAAATAGGAAAATAAACTTCCAAAACTGCAACAATATCCTCTAAAACCGAAGTCACGCTGAAGACCCGGGTTCGAATCCCCACATGGGTACATTGTGTGAAGCCCATTTCTGGTGTCCCCCGCCGTGATGTTGCTGGAATATTTCTAAAACCGAAACAATACATCTGTAATGGAAGACAGCCGTTTTGTACGCTCGGCGACCGTTCTCGCGCACTCTTGTAGCTGATACGTGAGTTTTGTTTCCATTTCAAACGATTAGTCTTCCATTACAGATGTATTGTTTCGGTTTTAGAGGATATTGTTGCGGTTTTGGAAGTTATTTTCCTATTTTGGGGATTTTTGTTCTGTTTTGGTGTGTATGAGTTCAGTTTTGATGATTTGTTCCCCGTTTGTATGGTAGGCCTGCATATGTCTGCATGAAATACCCTGACTCATAATATCTATATTATGTTTATTCACATTTTCATTAAAATCAGATAATTTGCTCCCATAAGTTACTTAATTGTATAGAGAACTGACACATTCTATAATAAAAGCTCATTTTCTGACTCTGCCTTTGCCAGCTTTGAACGTCGAATAACAGTGAAGCGTGCGTAGGTTTTCACGTTTCGGATTCGCCCATTCCAAATAATCTGCATTCGAAACTGCCCGAGTAAATTCGTTTTCGAGACATCAGATGTGTTGGCCTAAATGCTTTCCTCACTATTTGTTGAATGCTGTCTAAGAAATATCGATTCTAAAAGATCTGATTATAATTCCAATGTCAATTAAACATTCACACAGATCCCACCTTTCATTAAAGGGCATACGCTCCAAACGTGGGACACACCCTTTCCACTGAACTGACCAATGGCAACTTCAAGGTAGAACAGAGGTAGGCCACATAACATCAGGCACGTCACGTATGGGACAAGGTATGCACCTGCAAAATAAACAAATAAACAACTTTCACTTATGATGCCGCAATCCAACTAAACTGAAGTACATAAGAAACTACACAACAGTTTTGTCTATTTGAATTTTGATTCTAAAAGTTGCTTAACACTACAGATATCCTTTACAGTGCTGTGGGGTATCACGAAAATCACCAGGTGTGTACTTTCTTTCGTACGTCAGTATCGGTGACCTGTAATTAATCCCAATGGTTGATACGATGAGCACCCATCCACGTCATCACGCGATGTCATGTAATTTAGCGTCAGCCCGATTCATTTTGTCGCCTCTTAAGAAAGCAATGGGTTTCAAGGGAATTTTTCAAAACATAATTTCCATGGGTCGCTTAGAAATGTTTATGCTACTGATATAAGTGATAAAATATAGCTATGACACTACTACTACCTTAAAAGAACGTAAGGTAAAGCTGTATTCACTGATCATTTGCCACATGCTTTCGTGGATATAGGTAATATACCACCGTTGTATAAACGTTAATTTGGAATTATCCATATGCTACGTATTTAGCGGGTTTGTACGACAACCTCATAAGAAACATTTATTTGTCTGTCGGCTAACGCAGTCTTTGTAGTCCGTAAACTACGAGTCTTCAGTGGTAGATCCAACCACGGAGACCATTTGGAAATGGGATTCGAAGGCATGCACCGACCAAGCCCCCAGTCGTGACTACGCACACTGCTTGTAGCCTCTAAAGACAAGGAATAAAGAAGACAAAGTCTTGCCGGATCTTCACGGGGAACATATATAAACAAAGCAACGTGTAGTTTCCTTGTAAAACGTGGACTACATTCTTTCATGTTGCATAATATCAGCTTGTGCTTCTTATCGGGCCCCTTAAATCGTTAACGTCCCTTACATTACGCCCTTTCGGCGTATCAGAAACGCGGTTCGGTTTCAGAACGTTCCTATGTTTGTTAACACCCGTGCTTCACCGTGATTACCCGTGCAGATTATGGTTAGAATTGGCCTTCAGTAACCCATGCTTGTTGTAAGAGGCGACTAACGGGATCAGGTGGTCAGGCTCTCTGACTTGGTTGACACATGTCATCGCATCCCTATTACGTAGATCTATGCTCATACTGTTGATCACTGGATTGTCTGGCCCTGAGTCGATTATATACACATCGCGGCCATATACCTGGGATATTGCGGAGTGCGGCGTTAAACAACAAAGCTGATAGCGTCCGAGACCCGTGACATTACTGAAATACTGTTAAAAAGGGGCATAAACCAAAGTCACTCACTCACTCACAATGTATCATTTACCTCCACCGTTTTTATTGCAGACGTATGGAAAACGCAGAACGTTTGAAAGTCCAACAGAAAAGCCAATGAGAGACAATAAATAGTCCATATTCGAGGCCCAGTGTCCTCTTTGTTTGTCCGGTGATCTGGGGCCAACCATATCCGCCATCATGACTTCCTCCGCCAGGTCTTCTTCCTTGCAGGTAGAACCCATTTCCTGAAAAATACCGTGACCGTTATGTCTCATTTTACTTTGTTTAAATATTTTTTTATTTAATCAATTTTAATTCTTATTCTGTTATTGTATATTTTATTTGTTTGGGTTTTTGGGTTTTGGGGGTTATGTTTTGTTTTATATTTTGTCCTTTTTATTGTTTCTTTTTTTTAAATTTGTTTTATTTGGGTGGCTGGGGGGTTGGGGTGTTTTGGGGGTATTAATTATTTTATACTTTTTTATTTATTCATTTTTATAAAAAAAAATTGTATTTATTTATTTATTTTTTATTATTATTATTTATTTATTTTATTTAATTTTTTTGGGGGGGGTGGAGGAGGATGTTTTTCTTTAGTTTCTTTTTAGCTGACCGTTGCGCCGCATATTCCAGCTTTAGACAAAGACATCATGAGCATCGGTAACCACATATTCAACAATACAAGCAGTGTGCGAAATCTACGCTGGTCCTATGGTCCCTGGCTAGTAAACGTTCATCAGGACCACTAAATAAAAGATTGCAGTGGTCCTGATTGCCAGTGGATTTTCTATTGATAGTTAAGTAAATATACGAATGTTATTTTGGACCAGAAAAGTACACACAGTCCTGCGAGGAAAGTCGATACCATCCGATTTCACTGGCGAAGATCCTGGTTAGAATTGGTCTTCAGCAATCCGTGATCGGGTGGTCAGGTTCGCGACTTGTTTGACACATATCATTGTATCCCAGCTGCCTAGATATATGCTCATGATACTGCTCTCATCCATTTTTTTTTCAACAATGCCACAATATGTCGGGAAGAACCCCCAGACTGGTGTGTATGCTAAATACGTGTGAAAATCCTGCTGTATCTGTCTTCACAGGCTTCACATGGGAAGAACCTGGCTAGAAATAATTAGTTGAAAAATTTGGCAAATCTTTAAAATAGACATTTCCATAACAATATGACCCGAGCTTATTCGTTATGACTATAAAGGGCTAATGACCTTTTCGGTAGGAGAATTCAAACATCACTTCTTACAAACTGTCAAACATCCAGTGGCCAAGAGTTGAAGAAGAAATAACGATGACATTATCAGGGGAGCTGTTTCTTAGAAATGCATGTTGCAATTTGAGAAATTTGAGCTCACTTACTCAATGAACAACGGGGAGAGTTCTATGGAGATACAAAGTTTTCATTATAAACATGAGAGACGTTTCGCTGAAGCTACTAACAGCGTTATCAAGCAGGTGAACATCACGTGCTTGATCTCCTCGTTCTTCATCACACCAACTTCTTAATGCCATTAAAAGAAGTCACTAGATCAACGTCAACTCTCTCTGAAGATATACAGAATGCGGGGATTGCTAAATATGTCGGATCCCGTAACAATTAGTAAAAATGTAATACAGGCGATCTTAGCGTTGCGATCGTATCTCACATAGTCTTAAGATGGTCGTAGCGCTGAGATAGTGAGTGAGTTTAGTTTTATGCCACACTCAGCAATATTCCAGCTAAATGGCGGCAGTCTGTAGATAATCGAGTCTGGACCAGACAATCCAGTGATCAACAGCATGAGCATCGATGAGAACCGATGACATATGTCAAGTTGGACATAGTATATTACCTCACAGTTACCTCACAGTTACCTCACAATTACCTCACAGTTACCTCACAGTTACCTCACAGTTACCCCACAGTTACCTCACAGTTACCTCACAGTTACCTCAGTTTCCTTACAGTTACCTTACAGTTACCTCACAGTTACCTAACAGTTACCTTACAGTTACCTTACAGTTACCTCACAGTTACCTTACAGTTACCTCACAGTTACCTCACAGTTACCTTACAGTTACCTTACAGTTACCTCACAGTTACCTTACAGTTACCTCACAGTTACCTCACAGTACCAGTAAATGATGCTGATCTGAGTCAGCATCTTCGTGCCGAAACAACCTACAGACCCGTCAGCGACATATACACGCAGCACTGGCTTTGCCGTCCACAGATTAACAGTAATGACCAGGGACAACCCCACTCACTGGTCCTGGTGTATGTTTCGCCCAGTAATCTTTACTGACAAATGAGACCATATAAGTGTAAGGGGTGTGGCATATTATTACCGTTTCTTACCACTTACTCCCCAAACAACACTAACTAGCAGTAGTTCGTTCATTCTCTACAGGCACACTCTCTACAGCGTCGACTCCATGATTCCCTAAGTCAAATATTCTCATGAAAAAAAACCACTTGCTATAACAATTATTATAAGGCAAAATAAGGAATTCCAACAGACATCATTGTTGTCACTGATGCATCAGATTTCGAAAAGCCCTCAATATTTCTACCGTAAAACGTTTTGATAGTCATATTAGGTCGTAAATGTTGTCACCCTTCAAACGTTTGAGCAAGTGTCGTATGACGCTCTTTCAAATCCTCGTCGAAAGCATGTTCAATTGCAGTTAAAAGATGCGAAATATAGACCTCAAAGGCAAAAATACTGCTGGAATACAACAAATTAAATCAAGCATGTGTAAGCTGCAGTAAACTGGGTATACAAAAACATACGAGTTTTCATGTTGAGTTTATTTGGTCTGAATGCCCCATCTGTTTCAGGATTTAGGCACTCTCCGTAATCGTCGGGTGACACTTGTTTTCATTTCTGATATATAGTCCTGAACCTGACGACAGAGATGTTACTTTGGATGTGGTCACCACGTTAACTTACCTAATGACCGATGGATCAGTGAGAGACATTTTGTCCTGAAGTTTGTGATTTGGGATAGCAGTATATAAAGTGCTTAAAAATCTCATTCTAATTAAATTCGGTTCTTTTCTTAGACTGCAAATATTCGAACAGATCCTTTGAAGTTTTTAGAATCCCGAAGGTATAAATTCCAACTTACCTAATGACCGATGGATCAGTGAGAGACATTTTGTCCTGAAGTTTGTGATTTAGGATAGCAGTATATAAAGTGCTTAAAAATCTCATTCTAATTAAATTCGGTTCTTTTCTTAGACTGCAAATATTCGAACAGATCCTTTGAAGTTTTTAGAATCCCGAAGGTATAAATTCCAACTTACCTAATGACCGATGGATCAGTGAGAGACATTTTGTCCTGAAGTTTGTGATTTAGGATAGCAGTATATAAAGTGCTTAAAAATCTCATTCTAATTAAATTCGGTTCTTTTCTTAGACTGCAAATATTCGAACAGATCCTTTGAAGTTTTTAGAATCCCGAAGGTATAAATTCCAACTTACCTAATGATCGATGGATCAGTGAGAGACATTTTGTCCTGAAGTTTGTGATTTAGGATAGCAGTATATAAAGTGTTTAAAAATCTCATTCTAATTAAATTCGGTTCTTTTCTTAGACTGCAAATATTCGAACAGATCCTTTGAAGTTTTTAGAATCCCGAAGGTATAAATTCCAACTTACCTAATGACCGATGGATCAGTGTGAGACATTTTGTCCTGAAGTTTGTGATTTAGGATAGCAGTATATAAAGTGTTTAAAAATCTCAGTCTAATTAAATTCGGTTCTATTCTTAGACTGCAAATATTCGAGCAGATCCTTTGACGTTTTTAGAATCCCGAAAGTATAAATTCCAACTTACCTAATAACCGATGGATCAGTGAGAGACATTTTGTCCTGAAGTTTGTGATTTGGGATAGCAGTATATAAAGTGTTTAAAAATCTCATTCTAATTAAATTCGGTTCTTTTCTTAGACTGCAAATATTCGAACAGATCCTTTGAAGTTTTTAGAATCGCGAAGGTATAAATTCCAACTTACCTAATGACCGATGGATCATTGAGAGACATTTTGTCCTGAATTTGTGATTTGGGATAACAGTATATAAAGTGTTTAAAAATCGCATCCTAATTAAATTCGGTTCTTTTCTTAGACTGCAAATATTCGAACAGATCCTTTGACGTTTTTAGAATCCCGAAGGTATAAATTCCACGTGTCTCAAATACTATGTGAGTTAAAGGACAGTATTCCCTTCCCTGCATTAATAATTATAGTTTGAGACAATACATTTTGCTGGACCCTGCAATATCTCAGTCTCTCTCTTTTTTAGTTCTGTTTTGGTGTCAGAACAAAGGTTGGTGTAGATTTTAGATATCGGAACAAAGATTGATAGCGTTGGCTCGTCACGCCAAAGACCCGGGTTCGAAACCCCGCATGGGAGATCTGGTGTTGACTTAGAATATTTAAAAGAGTCATCGGATCAGTCAGTAGATATCGGATTTACCAGGATTGCCAGGATCTTTGAATTAAGGATCTGAGTCCTCCCTGTGATACTATCAGCACCAAATATGTATAATTGTTTACCGTTATCCAACGGTGCTAAATGGTGAAATACCTTTAAAGCTAATGTGGCAATATACCTAGATGGTAGTTTGTATCTATTTTATCATTTATTATTTATGAAAATATGTAAATATAGCTGTAACCACGACGGACTCAACACGGGACAAAATTATCATCTATATCAATAATGTTTTTGACTGCCAATTTGAACATGTGCATTGCCCTTAAAGCTAAACTGTAAGTGAACTCATGTACGAAATATTTACTGCTGTTAATGATATCTTGAGCAAGTTAAAACTTATTGTATGTACTATAAGGTAACGATTAAGATTAATCAAGATAGCCTTGATCAATTTAATTTAAAACTTGTTAAAAGTATATTACGCTTTTAAATTATAAATGATTCTTCAATTTAATTTGGATCTAAACAAGTTACGCATATAAACATGTTTCTAAATGTGTTCGCGAGCACCTTGTACAATAACATTTGATGATAAATATAAGATCACGTATATAGGGCTGATCGCCATGCCGCACAGGCGTACTATAAGCACATACAACTAAAAGCAATTGTCAGTAATTAGGGCGTAGTTGGGTTTTAGGCCATATTTGAAGGCTATCAAGAAAGGAGCACATCGGGGTATTTGAAGCAGGCGTTTGAAGGATGGCACCAAAAGGTAAAGAGGTAC